ATAGCCGTCTTAAAAGCGAATTACACGAATATTATCAATTCAGAGCGCATATGGTAACTGCAGAGTACATTCCAGTACTGATGCTCATCATGGTGTTCGATTGAACCCCACTCTGGGTATCCGCACATATCCGTTCCAGGTCAATCCAAAGGGACGACTCAAAGTGGATTTGTTCGAAGACATCGGTGAATTTTCATAGATAGAATAGCCTCATAAGGAAAGAAAATACTTCTTGTTCATCACTATGTTGTGATGTGGGCGATTTAAGTCTCGAAATTTGTTAACAAAATGGTGTGCTTCAGCTGGCTCTGCATAAGTAACATTCCATCTGTACCTGAAACCACCTCCTAGCCCTTCAAGATCTTGAGGTCTCTGTCCTATCGCTCCTAAGGAAATGGCGCCGATTCTGTGCAGGCTGCAGCCCTGAGTTATGGCTAACCATAAGATTCACACTTACTTGTTAAACGCGAAAAGCACGATGGCTGAAGGGCGAAACGATTGTGGGGGATTGAGTCATTGAAGCAACAGTCCCAGCAGGGTTTTTACCTTCGACACTAATGGTGTGGAACGATGCGCTAGCCCTAGTCAAGAACATAAAAAAGTGTGACTGAACAAAAAACTCACCTTGGAAAGCCGCTAGAAAGGGAGCTGAACGCTTCGAAGTGGGCGTGGTTGCAATCGGCTGCAATCCCCTCAGCCGATTGATAACCACGCCCACTTCGAAGCTGTTCAGCTCCCTTTCTAGCGGCTTTCCAAGGTGAGTTTGTCGCATCGTTCCATAGCATTAGTGTCGAAGGTAAAACCCTGCTGGGCTGTTGCTTCAAATAGGACTGGTGGAAGAATGTTGGAGGGGATCCCAACCACACTCCTAGCGCGCTGTCACATTTTCATAAACAGGGCCACACATACGCGAATTAGTGGTTACCATTCTCCCAGAGGAACAGGAAGCGGAAACATAGTTCTTCCTTATGAAAACCCACCATGGACGAGCATTACTAGCGATTTCCAGCGGTTGCAGTGGGCATCGTATAGCGCACCACCCTATCGATGTACACCAGCCAGCATCATGTATGCTAAATGTTTCAGCTCCACAGGACTACAGAAACATGTCCTTGGTGACGTTGATGAGCTTTTTTGTGCGAAGGTTTCGGGTGACCTCGATCATCATTGACACGAAGAACGCAAACGAATTTCTTCCAATTTTCTTCAACGACGGCACTTTTTCAGAATCCAATATGAGGGTTTGTCCAGGTATGAATTACGTATGACACTAGTTACTGAACAGAAGTGGAAAACAGAATAAAGCTGCTGAAGCGAATGAGTCGCTTCTGTGATGTGCTTATAGGTCATTACAGTTAAATATTTACAGCTCAACGTAGCCTATCGGAAGCCAAAAACCGCTCAGGAAATGGACGATTTCAGGGCTGCATGGCATGCAATACTGTACGAGAGAAGGTGAGTGAATATTGAAAGAAAAGTAAGCAACAATGAGGTCGAAGTTGATCAATTCATTTGTATTGCGCCACGCCGTCAACTTTCATTCACAACGCGTGGAAGCAGTTGAGCGCCAACTGGCATGCATTGAAAGTGAGTTCTAGAGACCAGCTCACGTCCACTCTAATGTTTTTCTTGCCCAAAACACATTAATTGTCAATATTTCCCAAAAAAAACTGGCTTTGACAAGTGAGGCTCTTGGAATCAAAGAAAGATCCCACGATAAGGTCGGAGGTCGAAGACGGGGAAATTTACGTAGAAGAAAGGCAGGAGGACTCCCTAAGGCCGATGTCAGACTTTGCGAATCGCGCGATTCGCTACTAGCGATTCGCTAGCGTCCGCGGTCGCGTTGCGGTACCAGCCAATTGAGTGATTCACTGGCCGCGACGCGACCGCAGACGCTAGCGAATCGCGCGATTCGCAAAGTCTGACATCGGCCTGGGGTGCGAGACAATGTGCGTTCCGCAACGAAGGTATGCCCTCAGTAGCTCAACATGGCCATAACCCGC